CAAAATTCTCTCCTCAGTCGTGATAGTCAGTCCCGAGATGCAGTGATAACACCCTATTATCACCAAGATGTAAATATTTCTCACCTGAATCAAAAATTCCCCATCAGAATCAGTTTCTTCAACGTCGGAGTCGAGCGTCTGAAAGAACTCAATCACTTCAGTAGCCTTTTTTCGCCGGGGTCGAGACATGATTTGATGTCGATCGAAAAACAAACTTCAAAATCTCCCTCGTTCGTTGAGAGTCACTCTTCTTTAGGTCACCGGAAGAAGGAATGGATCGAGTACCCGGATATTACAATAAACATGGATAATATATGGGGTTGGACGATTTTTCGGGTTTTTATTCTCATCACGAGTTAACTCGTGATCGGTCCTCAGGCGACGGGAAGCCATCACGAGATAACTCGTGATTGGTCCCCAGTGAGTTAACGAACAAAACTACCAAATCGACAATTTAGCATTTAGGTTAGAACGGAATGATTAGGATCATTAAGTCTAGGAAGAAGCTAGCTGTACTGAATGACGGCTAGACTGCTAGGCCATGGCTAGACTGCTTGGCTAGCGTACATAATTACTATGGTAGCGTCAATTGCCACCGAGTGACACGGTGGCAATTGACTTTATTGACACTGGTGTCAATTGCCACCGAGTAGGTAGAGTCCATTGCCAATCGTCCGCTGCGCCTTGGGTCGGAAATCGTCCTCCGCGCGAGGGGTAATTTTTGGGCCGCTCGGAATCAGAAGTGACTCTCTTTTAAGTATAGTTACGGGAAAACTCGAGGACGAAAATAAATGAAACTCTGCGACCAATCAGAGGAAAGGTTAAACTAATGACATGCCTACTATCCCGAACGATTTCTAGAACCGGAGATATTGCTGTGTTTGTGCGAATTTCCTCTGCAGTTCGAAAACTAAGCAGAGCTGCGGGTTGATCGCTGACCACACAGGCGCCCCACATGTCTTCTTTATTACAGTAAAATTTCAGATCTCTGCGCTTAGTACATTTTACATACCAACTTAAAATTACCACCCATCCATTGATAAAACACTAGAGCTGGAAACTAGACCACGCATTCCAAACGTGAGGAACCCCCTGCAGCAACTGAAATTCAACTGCCGGTGCGCCGTGACGAAAATAAATGAAACTCGGCAACCAATCAGAGAAAAGGTTAAACTAATGACATGCCAGCTTACAATCCCGAACTGCTGTCACAAGTTCTCGTCAATGTCCATTGTAACTTTGTTACAGATTAGAAACAAAACAGTGATCAGTCACCTCTCATACGATTTTTATATGAGTAGTTGGCGGGGCTTTTATTATACCCTATATATATAATGTTTCTGTTGATCACCCTTTTCCCTCCCCAGTAGTTGAAAATTCATTGTTAGGTCTACCCATTGTTGGTCAATGTGACCAAACATTCATTGGAGGAGGAACTAACAATAACAACAGGTGAATGAATTATGATGGCGTGAAAGGTCGATTGAAAATTTATAACAAAGCATCGGCAATGAGTGATCAAGCCTGGCCACCTGATGCAGGTAAATTTGACCGTGGATTGATAAAATTAGGTGGCCGGGGCCACATTGGACAGAGGTGACCGTTTCACACAGTTACATTATAGAAAAAACGCTAGGGGGGAAATGGAACGTGGCCTTTTGTACAGGTGGCTGTATTTATCTAGCACTGCGTTTGTTGCCATTTTTTTGTCCAAAAGCTGCCTAAAGTTGCCACAAAAAAGTGGCCATTAATTTTCAAGCTTTCAACTCTCTGTGAAGACGTATGCTGAGAGGTAACAATCTAAAGCACCAGAATTTCTTGTGCTCTGTTTTAAACATCCAGAATGTCATTTGTAGTCACCCTAGGGTAAAAATGTGAAAAATAAAGATTTCATGACAGAATGAAACCAAAATTAGAACAGCATGGATAAATAACCACGAAAATTAACAAATAAGGGCGCTTGTCCACCTATCCGAAGATGGGCTGTTTTAACCCTAAATGTGTGTAATTTTTTAAAAAGTAGGCCTACAGGATATTGCATGTAAATTATGGAATCACACTCACAATTGGGGGGTGCCAGTGTCAGTATTCGGTTTTGGTGGAGACACGCTCTTACGTAACACATATATATTTTTAAAAGGGTAGGAACAGCATTAAATTAAAATATGACATTACGCTGTATAAACACACTAAAAAACGGAAAAACACATCTTCAGAAAAAAATTTTGAAAAATTGACACACTGACAAATTAAAACACAACAAAAAGGGAAAAATTAAAAGACAGACAACAATATAAATAGTATGTAATGTACTATTCTCCGCATGAAAATAGGTAAACAGGGACATCTTAAAACTTATCAAAGTAAAAGTCTAATATGTTATGAAGTAGCTTTTTTTGGGGGGGTCTTTTTTGAAAAATGTAAAAATTGCGGCCGCGATTCGCGGACCAAAAAATGCAAAAAATCGCAGTCGCGACCATGCTAGATTTATACAGGTGCCTGTCATGGCAGGTTCGACCGTATTACTTTTTTGTTTATTTGACGAGACTATCAAATGTTATGTCTGTGGAAAAAAACCAGCCCTCGCGGGCCGCTCGCTGATAAAAAAAAAGAAAACAATAGGGAAAAGAAAAATTTTACACTTTCTGGGACTCTTGAAATTACCTGAATAGACATAGATCTAGATCTATATGATGGTGGATTTCACGGTGAGGACCCACAGGTTTTCCACGGTCCAAATTTTTTTTTTTGGATTTTGAACTTTTTCAAAGGGTTATGTCTGTTTTATTTCATTGGAAAGGTATTTAAATAAAGAGGAATTTAAAAATGTTATTGTATTAGTACAGGTTTTACGCCGCTCGCAAGTGCATAAGGTCATATGAGCGCCTAGGGGTGGGTGTCAGCAGAGAAGTCCCTACCGGGAATCAGACTTACTCTGCTCACCTCTCTGGCTTCAACAGCACAAAGTCTGCTTCGACTATCAAGGCGCCCCAGAAAATATCTGGTCACAAGAGTGTGACAAACATACAAATGAAGTAGAGGAAAATGACGATAGTAAGGATTAGGAAAGAAAAAGCTGCAGTTCCCTGTTGTAGTTCAGGCGCTGTTATAAGCATGACATTGTTGGATCAGCCCATTTACAATTCTACTGTGCATTAGAACGAGAAATGTCCCCCCTTTAGGAATGGCCTAAAGACACTTTAGTCAGTGGCTCCGCCGGGGGGGGGGGGGGGGTCAACAACGACTGGTTACAAATCATCTGATTCCTATAAACTTGAAAATTGGTAGGCATGATCGAAAGATTAGTTTGATAAAGTTTGATTTAATTGAACTGTTCCTTAAGGTGGTAGCTTGCTCCTTCATAGGGAAAACTGTTGTTTGAAAAAAAAAAGTATGGTTGTAAAGTTTAAAAGTGCTTAATAAGAATGTCCTAGCCTAAGAGTATGTTGTACAGCATGTAGCGCTTTATGTATAAATGCAGTTATTATTTTTATGAATGTGTAACATCGTGGTGAAATCAGGCGCTTGTCAATATAATATAATAAAATCAAAGAAACCAAAATTTTTCCGCGCTGGTAGGCAATTTTTATTGATTTTTGGCAAATGGCTTCTTTTATGTAGGCCTACAATTACAAACACATTTCCGCATGGATTTTAATGGAAAACATTAATCAAAGAGGGATAAAGAACAATAGTACATTTGCAGTTTCCAAGGACACTCAAAGTTTTGAAGTCGCTGAACTTTGGTGGCCTTTTTCTCACTAATTTTACCTCCGACACCAGATGGCCCACATCTCATACAATCGTAGATATCTTGACTTCTGTTTTTTAAAAATCAAAAGCAAGATAAATGAACTAAATTTAAGAAGATACCAATATATACTCCACATGCTCTAAAATTGACCAGCGCCTGTGTCCCCCATCTTGTTATGCATGTTATTTATATATAAATATATATATATATCATTTTTAACCCTATCTGTACGTCGTGTTTTTCTATCGTATCCATACGATGTGGGAAACTCTGTGCCACCACTTTCCAAAGAGGAAATTTACTTGTTAATCCAATCCGTACGCTTTGCATAGCAGTATGTCAAAATGATTTTTTGAGAAATACTGAAAGTTTCAAAGAGATATTCGTATTACAAGTATTCTAAAATATCAAGAATACAACCCCAGGGGTACAAAATGACCCCAGGGCGTACGGATAAGGTTAAAGCAACAAGAAATAATGAAGATCAGAGAAAAGTTTGGAGAAGAAAAAAAAAATTGATAAATTGCCCAAAGAAAGGAAAAATATCGGTTACTTCGATTTTATTATTTTGAGGAGCTCCTGATTTCTTCCCAATACACCACACATAGTTTGGTTAAACATTTTCTTTATCTTTTTGCAGGATACTCAAGGCAGTGATTTTTAATCGCAGAAGTTCAAAATGGCTGATAGATCTTCACCAGCCCAGACTCCTCTTGCCACGCATATTGACTATACATCGAGAGGGTCTACAGCAGCTTCTTCTAACGCTAATCAAAGGAGGCCGGAAGAAGTGAAAATTGACCTGAGTTCAGATTCAGAGGGCAAAGAAAGTTCAGCTCAACATGAAATTACACGGGCCAAAAGTGACGAGGCTGATGGGGAGAATCTGCCAACATTTTCTGTTGTAGAACATGAGAAAAACACAAGCGCGAATCCGAGAAAGGAAGATACTTTTGCCCTCCCTCATCTAGTGAGTTGTTTTTATTCTAGTGTTTGGCACGCTTATATTTTTAAATTTTGTTTTTTGCACAATCAGTCTTAAATCAACACAAAAGTAAAAGCGTCGAACATCTTGCTCTCTCTAGAAAATTTGAATGGGTCGAGGGGGTGGGGTGAGCATGAGAGTAGAGAAATGGCGAACCATGACCGGCAATGTCTATTTCAGATCTAACCCTAAAAAGAAGAAAAACAGCCGATCAAAATTTTTGTTTTAAGTGATCCAGTCTATAGCGGAGCTCACTATACATATATGAAACCTATGCCCAACTATTTTATGTCATATTGGGGGGGGGGGGGGGAAATATCTGGAACAAAGCTTGATATATGCAGGGAAACTATTTCATCCTAGTTGATTATCAGTGGAGTAAATTGGAGCTTAAACTAATAAGTAGGCCTGTTTTTCTCTCTTTCTTTACAAGTTCTTTGAATTTTTTTGTTAAACAGGGATTTGTACTACTCTGACTTTGACCCATGAATACATTGAGTAGGCCTTCGGTAGGCTACTCTTGGCGATTTCGACGACACCCTCCCTGTCACTCTCACCACCCTCCCTCTGTACATGTTGTTCTCAGCTCCTTGGTACAGCCCTAAATGACATCAAAGCTACACTTCTCCCTCTGAGACCTAACTATGACAACACACTCTATGGAACATTATATTATAGCAACTGCAGCAAACCTGCACTTCACCCCCAGTGGGTCGGGGGGATATAAATAGACCCACTGCTTCGTCTGCAGAAGGTGCAACCCCTTCAAAGGCGAGGTGTCGCACTCGGACCCCTATCCTCTGAGATCCGGATGCGACACCTACTTTGGTGTATCTTCCTCTTCTCCTTCCTTCTTTCTTTCTTCTTCTGTCTTTCCTGCCACCGCTGACCTCATGTGCAGCAAAAAGAGAGGTCACCCATCCCACAGAGTGGGCGCCTTGTTGACCGTGAGATGCGACCCGTGCGGAGGGAAACCGGGTACCTGGCGGTTGAGGTGAGATCAGTCCACGGACTGTCCCTCGCCAACACACCTCTTTGGCCTAGGTTTTCCTCTTAGACGGGAGGGTGGCACGGCCCATGCCACTCAATCGGTTGAGAGCTGAAACCCCATCAAGCCCTGGGTCAATCTTGACGGGAGGGTCTCGTACTTTCTCGTTGAGAGTATAGCTCCGGGGTAGCCCTGGCACAGCTCTGATTATCCGAGCTATGTGTCCCCTTGTTGGGCTCCGTGGCGGGCGGGGAGCCCCGGAGTCGAATCAAATAGAAAACTCTCATGGATTCAAAAAACCAAAAAGACCCTTCCCCAGCTCCCAACGTTAAAAAGTCTCGGTTCGCGGAAGCGGGTGCGGCCGCCGAGCCGAGCAAAAACTCCAAAACTGGAAAAAGGACCTTTACGTCTGCCTCTTTTCTCCCTTCTCCCAGGGAGCTTCCGAAGCAGCCGTACGTGGCCATCTGCTGCAAAGAAGACGCACAGAAGAAGATCACTGATCTAAATTTGTTCAAGACGGGAGATGCACTAAGACAGGTTCTGGGATACATTCCTACGAATGTCCAGAAGCTGTCCTCTGGTGTACTCCTAGTCAAGTGCGCAACAGAGACTGAAGTGGCCAAACTTCTGAACATCACGACCTTCGGCAGTATTCCATGTACTTCCGAACGATACCAGAAGTTGAACTGCTCGAAGGGCGTCGTCCGCAGCCATGAACTAAAGGGCTGCAGCATGGAGGAAATTGTGGCGAACTGCGAAGGTGTGATTGACGCCCGCCGGATTACTCTCCGACGGGGGGAGACCACCCTCGAAACCAACACGGTCATCCTGACCTTTGATTCGTGTCGCCCTCCAGCCACCGTTCGGGCATCGTACTTGGTCTTAGACGTGCGACCCTATGTACCGAACCCTCTGCGCTGTTTCAAGTGTCAGAAGTTCGGACATAGTCAGTCGAGATGCCGACACGCAGCCGTGTGTCCTCGTTGTGGCAAGACCGGGCATCCTGAGAAGGAATGCAAGGCTAGTCCTTGTTGCCCCAATTGCCACAGCCAGCACACAGCCTTTAGTAAGGATTGCCCGACTTGGATTCAAGAACGCGCAATCCAAGAGTATAAAGTACGAAATGGCTGCTCGTTTCAGGAGGCCCGCAAAGCTACCTGCCCGCCAGTTGTGACCCCGATCCCTGGCCGGTCATACGCCAAGGTAGCACGGGAAGCCACGAGGTCCGCAAGTCCTTCTACTGCTGACCTCCCAAAGCCCACGGTCAACAGGCATGTCTCTGTTAGTAAAACAAAAAAGGTTCTTCCTTTCATCGAGACACCTCTGACAAACCGCTTTGAGGTTCTAGGGGAGGCCAGGGTGGATTCTCCCTCCGCCCTCTCTCCTCCCCCTCCCCCCTCCTCTATCACTTCCTCTTCTTCTTCCTCTTCTTCACCTTCTTCTTCTTCTCCTTCTTCTTCTTCTTCTCCTCCTTCTTCTTCTTCTTCTTCTTCCACCTCACGCCTCATCCCTCTGATGGAGCGTGAGGTGCACCCTTCCCCCTCTTCCCAGCTCCCTCCGTCTGCTCCCTCTCCAGCAGACACCCCCCTACCCCACCACCAACCAATGGAGGAAGACATCTCCGACCCCCCTCCCCGGCCTGAACCCGGGAAGGGCGGAGTCTGTCACTCCTCCAAATCCCCCACTAGACCGCCGTCCAATCCAGGACGGCAACCTAGAAAACACTCTGCCTCCCCCGTAAGGAGGAGTCAGAGTGCTTCTTCGAAGCCGGGGCCTAAGTGCTCCAAATCAAAAAGTAAAAATTCATAATGGCGGTCCTGCAATGGAATGCCGGCGGAATCCGACCTTCCATTGCAGAATTGCTACATTTACAGGCCACACTGTGCCCACGGGTGGCCTGTATTTAAGAAACAAAATTCACCCCGGCTTCAACCATAGACTTAAGAGGATTTACTGCGTACCATCACATTCACACGGAGAACCAGATTGCTTCCGGTGGTACCACCATCTACACCGACAACCACACACTCCACAGACAAGTACATCTTAAGACGACCCTCCAAGCTATTGCCGTACGGGTCACCCTGCACAGACCAATCACGATCTGCTCAGTTTACATCCCCCCAAATTACCCCCTCAAAATAACCCAACTAAATGACTTAAAGTCCCAGCTCCCAAAACCCTTTATTTTACTAGGTGATTTCAATGCCCACAGCCCCCTTTGGGGAGACAAACCTATAGACCAGAAAGGTAAAATAATAGAAAACTTTTTATTTCAAAATAACATCTGTCTCTTAAATGATAAATCCCCAACTTACAGAAACAGAGCCACTTATGGCACTTCATCCCTTGACCTCACTTTTTGTACCCCTGAACTAGTCCCAGATCTTGAGTGGTCTGTGCTGGATGACCGTACGGACCATTTCCCAATTCTCCTAAAAAACAATAGCATCCAAAACGACCCGATCCCAGAACGCTTCAACTTCAAAAAAGCCGACTGGGACGGGTTTGCCAATCAATGTTCCAAGATTCTTAATCCCAATTTCGACCACAACTACAATAAATTTCACGAAAAGCTCTTAGAAATATGCCACAATCACATTCCAAAAACAAAAACAAAACCCCGGAGGAACAAGATCTGGTTCTCTTGGGAATGTGAGGACGCAGTAAAGAAAAAGAAGGCAGCGTATCGAAAGGCCGTCAACAACACCACCATAGAAAACAAGATAAGTTATTTAAAGGCTCGAGCTGTGGCACGTAGATGCCTCAGGGAGAGCAAAAGACAATCATTCCAAAAATACATCTCCAAGATCAACAGCCAGACACCCCTCAACCAAGTTTTCCAAATTGCTAAAAAATTCTTAGGTAGACGCACAGACACCATTCGGCACGTCCAGAGGCCGGATGGAACAACAGCTGAAACACAAGTAGACATTGCAAACACAATAGCTACATCTCTAGCCAAAAACTCATCCCAAGCAAACTACAACACCACTTTTCAAAACGTCAAAACTAACAGAGAAAAACAACACCTAAACTTCCACTCAAACAACACTGAAACCTACAACGCAGACTTCACAATAGACGAATTAACATCATGCATCTCGGACCTGGACGATACAGCCCCGGGACCGGATGACATCCACAACAAGATCATTAGACACTTACCCTCAGAAACACTCACACTTCTATTATACATATACAACGACATGTGGCGGTCGCACTCCTTTCCGGAGTCTTGGCGTCTCGCCACTGTCATTCCAATACCCAAACCAAACAAGGACCACACACACGCATCCAATTACAGACCAATAGCACTAACGAAATGTCTCTGCAAACTAATTGAAAAAATGATTCACAGGCGACTCATGTGGTTTCTGGAAACGACGGGCTCGCTGAGCGGTCTCCAGTGCGGATTCAGGAAAACTCGATCCACTCTGGATCACCTGGTCCGCCTGGAGACCTTTATACGCGAGACGTTCGCTGAAAGAGGCCACATGATCGCCATCTTTTTTTACCTAGAAAAAGCCTTCGACACAACCTGGAAGTACGGCATTCTTCGAGACCTGCACGCACTCGGCATACGCGGTCACCTCCCTGCCTTCATTGGCAACTTCTTGAAGAACCGTTCCTTCCAGGTTCGTGTCGGATCCTCCCTTTCAGACCCCCACCAACAGGAGGAAGGAGTCCCCCAGGGGAGCATCCTTTCTCCTCTCCTATTTGAAATTAAGATAAACTCCATAGTGAAAACCCTCCAGAACAGCATAGACAGCTCGTTATACGTTGACGACTTCTTGATATGCTGCCGATCGAAAAATCCTCATTTGAGATCTATGGAAAGGCAGCTGCAAACGCATCTGCAAAAACTTGAAATGTGGGCAAACAACAACGGTTTCAAGTTCTCCCCGTCAAAGACGGTTGCAGTACACTTCTGCCGAACAGGCAGACGTGTGCTGCAGCCGGATTTGACACTATACGGGGAAAGGATTCCCGTCCAGGACCAAGCTCGTTTCCTCGGCGTCATTTTCGACAAAAAACTTACATTCATACCACACATCAAAGACCTTCGTGTGAGGTGCCAAAAAGCGTTAAACGCTTTAAAAATTCTATCAAATCCGGAGTGGGGCGGGGACTCAAAACACCTTCTCCACTTGTACATCTCCCTTGTCCGGTCCAGGCTTGACTACGGCTGTCAAGTCTACGGATCGGCAAAACCACACGTCTTAAAAATACTAGATCCAATACAAAACCAAGGACTCCGCCTCGCTCTGGGGGCTTTCCGCACTTCTCCGGTGGAGAGCCTCCAGGCAGAGGCCAACATACCACCACTCTCACTCAGACGCACACAACTCTCACTACAATACGCAGTTAAACAGAGCTCAACACCGGAAAATCCAGCGCACAACAGCATTTTTCAAACAAATCCAGAAACCAGAAACAGATTCCAAAACAACGAAAAACTCATCAAACCTTTCGGCCTCAGAATCCTTGAGGACCTCAAAAACTTACACTTTTCCAAACAAGACATCCAACAAATTCTTTTCCCCGACCTCCCTCCGTGGCACCTCACCAAGGCAAAAGTAGATTTACAGCTGACCACACACAACAAAGAAAGCACAAACACCAAAACTTTTCAAACAGAATACAGAAAACTAATAGATAAATACCCCGGTGCGGAGCTCATCTTCACGGATGGCTCCAAAAAAGACAATGAAGTGGGCGCCGCAGCCCTATCTCCCAACAATACACACCAGAGGAGACTCCATCCTGAAGCCTCCATTTTCACTGCGGAGGCCACTGCCATTGACATGGCACTGGACTCTGTAGAAAATTCTCCTAACAAATCTTTCCTTATCCTTTCTGACTCTCTGTCTTGCATCACCTCACTCACAAACTACACACTCCTACACCCAAAAATAGTTAGGCTACAACAGAAAATCCATACACTATCCGAAACAGGAAAAAACATCATGTTCGCATGGATACCCAGCCATGTGGGCATCCGAGGAAACGAGCAGGTAGACGACCTGGCGAAGAAAGCTTCATCCCTTCTGCTGGGATCAACGACAAACACTCTCCCACAGACTGACTTTAGAAATAAAGTCAAAAAGTACACCTCCAGTCTGTGGGAGAGCCACTGGGAAAACCAGAAAAATAATAAATTATATGAAATTAAACCCAGACTAGAACAGCGAAATCCTTCGGATCTCTCCAGAAGAGACGAAGTCATTTTTACTCGATTGCGCATCGGACACACGGCCCTGACCCACAAATACCTCCTACAGGGAGAGGAGAAGCCGTTCTGTGTCGGATGCGACACAGATTTTACCATTAGACACATTTTAACAGAATGTCTAGACTTTGGAGAGATCCGAAGGAAATATTATAAATGCAAGAAATTGCAGGATATTTTCTCCGTCGTTGTTCCCAGCAGAATTAAAAATTTTATAAAGGCCATTGGCCTTTATGGCGAGTTGTAGAGTGAATTTGATATTATTTAAAATATTTATTGTTACTTAAAAGTTGTTTTAGATCACAAATGTATTTACACCGAATTTGAATATTTTAACTTTTTAGCATTTTAAAGTAAATTAGTTACCAGTCGTGAAGTGAACTTTCGCAGAGGTGAACAACTTGTGTTTCGCGCGCTCATATGACCTTAGCAGTTGCGAGCGCCGTAAAACCTTATACTATACTATACTAAATCTGCACTTGTCACTACATGGCATTGGACAGAAGGGCGAGAGCCCAGCTGTTGCTGGATCGATAACAACAACAACAACATATTATTATTATTATTATTTTTATGTATTATTATTTTTTATGTATTATTATTAATATTATTTTTATTCTTATTAGGTGCTGTGTAAGAATTTTTTGGGATTTGTGTATTTCATTTTGCCATACTTCGTAATATATGCCCGCAGGTACGGAGAATTGATTCAGCAGAGGTTTTGCCCAAGCCCTTCAAAAGCACCAACCAGCTCATTTGTGCAGCTTTCTCGAGCATTATTTGCTGCATTGTCATTGGAGCGTTTGCAGCGAAGTATGCCATGAAGGCTAAAATCCAGCGCAACAAAGGAACCTACTCGTCAGCACAGGTCAGCGCGAAAAGAGCTTTTTATCTCGTCATAGCCGCTGTTGTTTGCGGGATTCTTATTGTCACCATAGTTTTGGCGACTAATTTGGGAGGTGATGATGGATGGTGATTGTTATGTTTGTGTTTTAAAAAAATAGGATTTTTTTTTGTTTTTATGTTATTTCAAAAATTTTTGGGGAAAAACTTACAGCATGGGGAGAAAAAAAACGTTGCTGCTCTCGCTAATGAGGAAAGTTTGTACTGGTGGTTTAGGGATGGCTGGTTGTTGTAAAATGATTTTGTTTGTGTACACTTTTAAGCTCACTGAATTTCTGAGAATGATCTGCTTTGTCCTCTTTTGCCTAAACAGAGTCACACAGAAAGCATGTTTGTGTGTGCGTGTGTGTGTGTGTGCGTGTGTGTGTGTGTGTGTGCGTGTGTATGTTGTGTGTGTGTACGTGGTGAAACACCAAGTCAGTGTGTCAGGGTCTGGACAATAAAGATGTATCTTATATTGTATGAAGGAATTGAGGCATGTTGAAACTTACATTCCATCTTTTATCACGGTTTTCTCAAGTGGTTCAGCTCCAACAGCTTCTGTACTTAATGAATTCATCTCTAAAGAGAATGTCTTTTCTACCTTGAGGCTCATTTGTGGAGACACTAAGGTGAAATCAGGTGCTCGTCAAAATAATGAAGTCGAAGAAAACAGCGTTTTTCCACAGCTGTGGCCTTTTTTAAATCGAAGTTTTGCTTTTGGCTCAACATCTTTTCTGTCAATTCAAAATTGCATTTCTGTGTAGATTTTATTGAGAAATGTTGATTAAAGGCACAAAAAAAGGTAAACTTTCAGTTTCCAAGGATTCTCAAGTTATGGAAGTTACCAAACTTTGGAGGCCATTTTCTTGCTAATTTTACCTCTGTAACCAGGCAACTCCACCTTCTTCAATTGAAAATATCTCGACTTCTATCCGAGATAGATGGGTATTTTTTTTAAATTGAAAAGAAGGCAAATAAACAAGTTTTAAGATAATATCAATAACTCCACATGCCAAAAATTGACATCCTCCTGATTTCAATGCGTCGTGACACATTTGTTATTCTTCAAATGTGTGTGAATTTTAAGGAAAACGGAAGAGGGTCGAAATTTTGTTAGAATTTCTATGCAAGTTAACTTTCATTTTACTATAATTAAGTATAAAATGTGACTGTGATTATTGATATTGAAATTGACATTTTTTAGGAATTATCTCTGCGAGCCGTTCTTTTTCTTTCTCTCCCTTTTGTTGTGTCCATCCATTCATGTTTTTTTTCCTCCACCTCCCAGTTTGATTTGGTGTGTTAACTTTTTATCTTCGTGGGGGGTAAACCCAATGCCAATATGCCGAGGCCCATTTTTAGTACTAAATCTAAAAATGACAAAAATGTCACTAATTTGGTCATTTAATCAGAACAAATGAACCTATTTCGATAGTTCTTCATCTAATGAATGAAATCTCGATAAAAGAGACCTGTTTTAATGCCGAAAAGTAATTTGATGTCAAAGTCACCATAAAGGAATGTGCCAGAGCTCACCGGTACAGCAGTTCCGACCATAAGCCACCGGGAGCGGCTTGCCGGAGATAAAGAGTTAATGAAAAACCATAGCTCTGCAAGGAGGTGCATGCCTTCTCATGGTGCCAGGAATAGCTCACACAAGCTTCTATGTTCAAATGTACAAGTGTGATGTACGATATTTGTTTGGGTGTATCATCTCTGGTTTGTTTGTTTTTTTCAGGGATTTAAATCTTCCGCCTTTTTCCGTTTTTTTCCGGTCGACTTGCTATTTGTGCCCCAGCTTTTAACAAAAGTCTACTATAAACGATACATATTATATATACTAAATAGAGATTATTTTCTGTAATAGAAGGAAAGAAACAAATGTCATTTAGTCTCACTGTATTCTTATTTCAGTCAGTGGGCACGCGCTGTATATTTTCAGGCTTTTTTTTTCAAAACCTATTTACATCCCTGTTTTTTTCCTTTCCTGTCATCATTGGGCCAAAAAGGATTTACAGGGTATAATAAATAATAATAATGATAATAATAATACATATATTTGTATAGCGCATCCAGGCTCGACAGCAAGCTATATGTGCTAATAAAACATGTTCTCTAAATGATTTGAATATATTATTGTCATAGAGCTTCCCAGTGGGTGGTAGGCAGGCGCTCTGGTGTGGTTTGCTATAAAACATCTGTCATCCTGATCTCTCCTCCTTCTGTTTTTTTGTTTGCTGCTCTCTTATAAGACCTCTAATCTTCAGCTCTTATAATATATGACCATATTGTGTTGCAAGTGCCGTAAAACTCTTACTTAAATTATTAAAACGATGGAAAGATGTTCCTAGGAGAAGCACAAGTAAACTTTCATCTCTTGTGAGGTCATATGTAATTCAGAACTGGTTCTGAACGATAAATTGAAGTACAAGAGATGTTATTTTTTATTTTTAAATATATTTATCTGCCATAAAATGAGACTCAGGATAGTTTTTATCCTCAAGACTATTGAGATCTATATATGTGAATCGTGGTGACAAAATGAGTTACTTCTCGGATTTGAGCCCTATGGAAGTCAATATTTCATGCTTTTAAAGAAGTTTTTATAATTTATACGTATGAAATAATAAAAGGCATGTTATACTTAAAGAATATGGCATGGAAAGAAAATCTACGACTTTGACCCTTGTGTTGATTTTTGGCCAATATCTCCATTTGTGGATTGCGAGAAGTAACTCATTTTGTCAGCACACCTCAAATATTCTCTTCCTCCTTGGATGTTAAAGGCTAACAAAGGTCATCATCAGTTCAACTTTACTATTATTACATGTGTGTGACCCAGAGAAAGGTCCCATTTGTTGGGAATTTTGGATATTGAAAGAAAGGCATAATAATATTCTTGTAGCCAATTCAATGCTGAACACGCTGATTTACACGTTTTCCAAATATCTCGAATAGTTTTAAAAGATATGCCACATTTTGTTACCCAGGGTGTAAAAACAAAGTTTGGAAAAAGATGGCTTTAACCTTATCATGATGAACAAGTTTCCAGCACATTTTCAACCTTAAGTGAAGCACAACATGTGGCAGAAAAAATTCATAAAAATAGTATTACTTAAAATATGATAAAATCCTTTCAATTTAAGAAATGGTTAAACGTGTTGTTTCTGATGAAACTAAATTTTTGATCAGGTACAACTTTTTTTGGGTGGCCTTTTCACCCAATTCCTGGAAAAACTGCTTTGCCGACAACCAGGACCTGTCTCCAGGCACACACACTCACAAGTTAGTGTTTTTATAAATGGTCGCTTTTAAGGACAAGCGGGCTAACCCAGATTTCGGGGGTTTCCAGAAATCTTGACTTGCACCGAAAGTGGACATTGTTCTACCTGTAGGAGAAGTTTCGTTTCAATGGGGTGTATATAACCTGTTTGGTTATAGAAAAGACTCTCCTTGTCTTTTGAAGAAACTGAACAAAGGGCAAAAACTTTACCTTCGATTTTCTCAAAACAGCATTTTTCGGGATAGCCCCCTTGTGCTTAAAAGCGACCAAATATAAAAAGAGGCCCAGGGTTGTTTGCGGAAAATGTTCAGTTTATGTTCGAATTTCCCGCAACGTATTTTGGTATGAAATGCTTCTTGCCTGCTTTTCTAGCCAATGTACATTGATTTTATTAATTAACTGCTTAGTGTTTGTGTTTAACTCTACGAAATAGTCATCAACTGAAGCCTGTTTGAAAAGTGACGTATGTCTGGGTCTTACCCAGAGCAGTGGCCATGTTCTGAATTTTTTTTTTTAGATAACGGGCTGTCTGTGTAACTACGTCGTAGCCACGTTTCACCACTGCCATTTTGTTTTTTATATGTTATGTATACATTAACTTATTTCACCATGTTTTGTTTTTTTTTAAAACTATTAATGAACAATTTGAAACTCGTTTTCATGTGCATGTATGTTTAGGCCTCTGTTTTTATAATGGGCCTGGAGCGTACCACAAAAGCGTTTGCTGTTACTGTTATATATGGATTACTGTATTTGACTGTGATGGTTCTCCTGCGCTGTTTTCAGTTATTCGACCTGGTGCTGTTATCTTGATATTAAAAAAATTGTTGCTCTGCTTCAAACTTACAAGCCTGAAAAAAATGAATTTAGCATATTTCCAGGCACCAGTAAGAAGAGTGCAGGGGAAAATATCCTAAGTCACTATTTTTCATTTATGCCTTATTCTGTTTTGATCTATTACATGTACGACCGGGCACGGATATATCACACGCTTTGGGTGATTGATAAAATGTGTTCGACTCATCCATAATTCAAGATTACTGACAAGGACATATGGCCGCTTTTAAGGACAAGCGGGCTAACACAGATTTCGGGGGTTTCCAGAAATCTTGACCTATACTAAAAGTGGGCATTTCCCTACCTTTAGAAGTTTGGTTTCATTGGTGTGTATATTTGTTTGGTTATAGAGAAAACTCCCCTTGTCTTTTAAAGAAACTGGACAAGGGGCAAAAACTTTACCTTCGATTTTCTAAAAACAGCACTTTTACAGGATTGCCTCCTTGTGCTTAAAAGCGACCGTATAGTAAAGAAATATCAGCTGCGGAATGCAAATTGTACGAGCTATCCGAGATTTCGAGTTTTCTGTGTTTGAATTTTTTTTTGCCTGGATGAACTTGTCCTTTTCCATGCTGTCCATCAAAACTGATTGACGGATTGTATCCGTAATGGATTAAGTCAGGTTCACTACACATACTTTTTAACAGTCGTACATGGGGAGAACAGCGTTAGTGCATGTTATGAACACGCAAAGGAAAGGCAGTTGTATTATGTTGGTCCTCAATATTTTTCCTGCGAAACCTACCGTTTTTCTGAGAGAAAAAGATAAATTCATTTTGACTGGTGACTCCACCATATGCCATTTCAAAGGGTTTAAAAAATTTTTATATTTTTTATTGGTAAGTGTTTTACGGTGCTCACAACGGCTTGAGGTCATATGAGTGCCTTGGACACATAAAAATAAAAAGTTTTCGGTTGGTAGAAAATTTTGAATTTTTCCACGGTGGCGGATGATCTTATCGATTTCGGACCATTAAGGGATCTTTAATGTGCGCACCTTGCACACGGGACCTCCGAGATTTTTCACCCTTATCCGAGAAGGTGAAGTGTTAGATCTTAGAGTTCGAGCGCAAGAAAGGAGGTGAAAGGTGAACATTTTAGAGAAAAAAAAATTCTGTTGCTATCGGAATTCAAACAAGGAACCTATTGGATGAGAGATGAGCACGGTTACCTCTTGACCACGAGAGCCCCCTTTCATTGAGGAGTGCTGACGTAAGCTGACAAAAAGCCTTTTTTAAAATATTTTTGGCATCAAATTTTTTAATTTTTTAATTTGCTAAATCGAAAGCCTGATCAGCTACCCAACTCGTGTGAAAAAAATCGAAGTGAAACAGTGACTAGAGTTTGAATAAATCAGAATTCAAATTTCGGAAGAACCCCTTTTCTGAATGGTTAAGTTACGCTGACAAAAAGGCTTTTTATCTTGAAACTTCTGTGAATAACCGCATATAGAGCTTGTTGTATTTGAGCGGGGGTATGCCTTATAATACATATTATGCTATTTATTATTAATATTGACTTGTTAAAAAGTTGTGTTGTCAGCTTACGGCAGAGTGAAGGTACAGTTGATCTTCACTCTTTCTTTTACTCTGCTTTTCCCTTCTGCCGATATCTGTGAGTGTCGTGAGGGAGATACAGATGTCTGTCTGTCTGTCTGTCTGTCTGTCTGTCTGTCTGTCTGTCTGTCTGTCTGTCTGTCTGTCCGTCTGTCTGTCTGTCTGTCTGCAGCCAAGGGAGTGGACCCAGAGCGGAGACAAACTTTGCAAAATAAGTAGCCTGCCTGCAAAAGATTGAAGTTTCTAGTCCTATTTTCCTTGATCATTCTTTGTTAAAATTAACAGAATCGCATAATTTCACTTTTTTATTTTGGCTCAGTTTGCTCTATTTCAGAATGTTTCTTGCATTAAACGACGGGGTCAGATCTGAACAGCTTATGTGTATGTATTTTTGTGTTTTGATGGACCATTATATCATTTAGTGTCATGCTGGACTGAGGTGTGAATGACCCTGGTTCAAAACCCATACAGGGGACTTTTGAAGTTCGTTAAATATGAGAGGTCATATATTGCTTTCCAGCTCTCATTATTTGGGTCCTGTTAGCATAGAGAGAGGGGGTGGGGGTGGGGGGGGGATGTCATGTATTGCCTATGAAACAAGCATCCCATATCATTATCATGCCATTTATTTTTGTCGGTACTTAAAAAGTAAAACAGTAGTTCTCTTATTCACATACTCAAGACTTTTATTTTTATACAACATGGTGTGTTGCTAATGATGTTTTTTTTTGTGTGTTTTTTTTTTACAGCTTTACTATTACTATCCATGTATTTGCAATAAACTGGATAAAAGAAGTTGCCAGATTGTACACAGAGTTTTCATCCTACGATTATCATGTTTTTGGAATTTTTTTCTCTCCTACTCTTTCGTTTTTCATGGTTTTGTTTTTGTTTTGTTGCTTTGGGTTTTTTTATTGCTCGCTGAGGGTGGTTAAGGGTTTCACTTGTAAGTCCCCCTGTTCTTTTCCTCTGTTGTTCCTGGCTATGTGGCTGGTTGGAGGGCGCAACTGGTGGGTCTTTCTTTTCTTTCTCTCTCTCTTTTTTTTGGTGGTAAATGTTCTGTGGCGCTCGCAACTGCATAAGTTATTATTCAATATTTTCAGTTGGTAGGACATTTTTTCTATTTCCGGGGTGCCTTGAAAGTGGAAACAGACTTTGTGCTGTTGAAGCTAGAGAGATGAGCAGAATAAGTCTGATTCCCAGTAAGGACTTCTCTGTTGACATCTACCCCTTGGCGCTCATATGACCTTATACAGTTGCGAGCGCCGTAAAACCCCCTACTATAAAAAAAAAAGTGTTCTACGGCGCTTGCAACTGCGTAAGGTCATATGAGCGCGCGGGACACATTAAATATTTTCAGTTGGTAGGAAGTTTTGAATTTTGCCCGGGTGGCGGCCGAAGCCTACTCTTATGGATTTTAGAATACCAAGGGTTCTTTAACGTTCGCAACTTGCACACGGGCCCTCCGAGATTTTTCGCCCTTGTCTGAGAAGACTAGGTTTAGATCTTTCCTACCAGAAGATCAGGGGTGTGGCTGAAAGACTGCAGTAAGAAGTAAGAAAGAGCCAAGGAGTAGCAGTAGAAAGGCTGCAGGAAGAGTCAGGAGCCCGGAGGAGGGGGTGGGGCAAAGAAGGTGAGGGGGTGGAGTCAGAAAGAGGAAACGAAAGCAGACGACAGAACATTGCTAGAGGCGGTGAAAGGAGACAATTTTAGAGAGGAAAATGTTTCCGTCGCTTACCGGATTCGAACCCGGGACCTTTGAATGAGAGGCCAACACCTTAACCTCTAGGCCTAGAGAGCCCTCTCTTTTTCTCTGTTGTTTCTGTTTTTATGAATGGTTGGAGAGCGCCACTGTTAGGTCCCTCTTATTCCTCCCGCAGTGCCACTGACTGAAGTGTCTTTAGGCCATTCCCAAAGGGGGGGGGGGGGGCATTTCTCTTTCATGCACAGTAGAACTGTAAATGGGCTGATTCGTCTACATCACGCTCATAACTGTGCCTGATCTACAACAGGGAACTGTTGCTTTTTCTTTCCTAATTAAATCCGTACTGTTATAATTTTTTCCTCTACTTCTTTTGTATGTTTTGTCTCACCCCTCTGACCCGCTATTTCCGGGGTGTCTTGAAAGTGGAAACAGACTTTGTGCTGTTGAAGCTAGAGAGGTGAACAGAGTAAGCCTAATTCCCTGTAAAGACTTCTCTGTTTACATCCACCTCTTGGCGTTCATATGACCTTACGCAGTTGCGAGCGCCGTAAAACACTTTACAAAAACAAAACAAACTAAAGGATGAAGAAGGGGGTGGTGGTGATGGTGGTAAGTATTCTGTAAGGAATGAAGAAGGGGCGGGAGAGGAGGGGGGCTTGGGTTGTAGAGTTGTATTCTAGTTGACATTTTGTTTTGTGAGTTGAGTGGTAATGACCTTGAAAGTATGGCAGCGTGGTGGAATCAGGCTCTCGTCAAAATAATCAAAGTGAAGAAACTTGCTTTTTTCTGTTGCTTGGTGAATTTTTATCAAATCTTTGTTTTTAGGGTCAACACCTTTCATGTCCATTAAAGAACTAATTTCTGTGTGGATTTTTTTTTTAAACGTTGATTAAAGGCACAAAAAATGTAAATTGTTAGTTACCACAGACTTTTAAGCTAAGGAAATAACTAATCTTTGGCGGCCATTTTCTCTCTAATTTAGCTTTAGAAAACAAGTAACCCCCACCTCCTTCTTTGGCAAATATCTCGAATTGTATTCAAGATAAATGGATATTATTTTTCATCAAAATAAAGACAAGTGAACAAGCTGTAAGATGATACCAGTAACTCTACATGCCCAAAAATTGACGAGAGCCTGATTCCACCACGCTGCCTCTCATATTTATAGGACACAAACGCTTATGAGTTTTGTTTCTCTATTATTGCGAAAAATAGTAAACATGTTATACAAACAAGCATAGATATTGTCATTTTATTTCCTCATAATATATTTTCTGTATAATATAAGTAAAAGCAAAAAAACAAAGAATCAGCAATGAAATGAAGAGAAATCATTCAAGTGAAGCGAAGAAATTCACATTTTCCCTCCGGTTTGGCAATTTTTATCGATGTTGGTTATTTTATTTTTTTTGCCTCAACACCTTTTTTCTCCATTAAAACACACATTTCTGTGAGGATTTTTTCAGTAAAACGTTGAAAAGACACAAAAGGTTAACCTTTTAATAAGTTTCCGATGACTCTCAAACTATAGAGAAGTCACAAAGATTTGGAGGTCATTTTCTCGCTGATTTTATCATATCTGAAACCAGGCGCCCCAACCTCTTTCAATCCAAATTATCTAGACTTCTCTTTAATATTATATAGAAGCGTAATTTTTTTTCAAGACAAATTAACAAGCTATAAAATGATACCAATATGACACATGTCCAACAATTCACGAGCACCTGATTCTACCGCGTCGTGGCACTTGAAACCCGAATACAAACATTTTTTGACAGGTTCGTGGTTATACAATAAAAATCATCTTGATTAAAATATGAATGTTTAAAGATAAAACAGAAATGCTAAGGCTCAGTAGGGTAGCATATTAGGGTGTGTTTGTGCGTGCGTGCGTATGTGTGCGTGTGTGTGTGTGTGTGCGCGCGCGCGTGTGTGTGTGTTAAAAAAGAGGTTGAGAGAGAGAGAGGGAGAGAGAGAGAGAGAGAGAGAGAGAGAGAGAGAGAGAGAGAGAGAGAGAG